ATACAAAATATTTTATGCGTACTTTAAAAAAAGAATTCAACAGAGTGTGTTACTTAAATGTTCGAGCCTCGAATTATCACAACAGGTCGCAGCTTCCTTTGGTTAGCAACACTAGCTAAATGAATGGTGGCCGCTGGTTCGAGCTCTGGTTCACGCTTGAAATGTTTTTGTATTCGTCTGGAGCTCGTTTCCTCCTAATGGGCTGGCCCATGCGCTCTTCCTTTAGTGAAGGCACGACCCTTTGCCGCCTGCGCGCGGCAAATAGGAGCTCTCGTTGCGGGGGAGCTCCTTTCTTTTTTGAGGATTAAGCCAGCTTTATTAATCAAAATCCACAGAGAGTGGGATACAAGACGGGTCATGGGGTTGGCCAAGCCACAGATGGCGCCCCGGTCCCCTTCTAAGAGAGAATCTGGCTAGAGTATGTGCTTCATAATTTACAGCACGATACTCAAAAGAAAAAAATGCATTGAAAAAGGGTAGCTCGAAGATTGATCTCGGACAGAATGGCACCGTATTGCCCTCTACTACCCGAGTTTATATCACATATAACTTGGTTGCAATCAGAGGCCACTATGTAGTTGTTGATAAGGAGATCCTCCGCCAAACACATTGCCTCCCTGCATGCCAAAGCTTCCAGAGAAGTCGGATCATCCACTCCTTCCACCACTAGGGCTGAACTCCCTAGGTAATTTCCGTTTGAATCACGGCAAACTGCTGCTGCTGACCCACCTCTCCCTGGTCGTATTGCGGCGTCAACATGTATTTTTGCAAAACCCGCCGGAGGTGCCTTGGGTCGTTGCGGTCCCGAGGGAGCAGTAGGTGCACTAGTTTGTCTTGTTGTCGGGCGGATCATATTAAGCTCATCACGGTATCTGTTGATGAAAGTCTGTGTTGCTTGAGGACTCTGAAAAATCCCCTCATGGATCGCCTTGCGCCTCGCGTGCCAGATTGACCACAAAGTAATCGACAGGAGGACAAACTCATCATGTGTGAGGGACTCAATAAGTGCAAACAGCCATTGCTTCGTTTTAGGCTCTGTCAGCGTTATCATTTTATGTGCAAGTTCCTCATCCACCAAGGCCCATACACATCTGGACATTGTGCATTGAATCAGTGAATGTTTCCACGAATCCGACATCCCACATAGCCCGCAGCTGCTAGACGTTGTCATATGGCGGCGGGCTCGCACATCCTCCGTGGGGAGGGAGTGTTTTGACAATCTCCAAAGAAACATCCGGACTTTACCAGGAACTTCAGTTTTCCACAGTTTTTTCCACATCCCTTCCTCTGACTGCGACGATGACGTTCCTGGTGCCCCATTAAGCCATGCCTCCCGGCGCTGTTTAGTTTCTGAGAGCATTTTGTACGCTGATTTAACTGAAAAAGTGCCTTTGGTCTCAAAGTTCCACGACCAGAAGTCGTCTATGTTGCGAGTACAGAGCGGAATGCCCAATATGATATTTGCGTCCATTGGCATGAAGACCTCATTCACCCTTTGCTTGATCCAGCTCGTTGAAGTTGGATCTATCAATTCTGACACAAGATGCGGTGGGTTCGCCGAAATGCACCCATAGGGCCGGAGCATCTCTTTCCTTGGGAGCCAATTATCTGTCCATATGTTGGTGGTAGCACCGTTTCCGACTCGCCGTATCAGCCCCTGTTTCAAGACGTCACGGCCCTCAATTATTGATCTCCATATCTGGCTCGGATGACCCCCCAAAGAGGCTTGGAGGATATCAACATTCGGATAGTATATACTCTTTAGCAGTCTGGCACTGAGGGAGTTGGGTTCCTGCAAAAGTCTATGTTGCGGGGGAGCTCCTATGTGATGCTTTTTGCGTCAAAGAGTCGACGTGCCGCACAGGGGCGGCTCACTTGGGCCAGCCCATTTGCCGTCCGCGAGGTGAAAAACAGCAGAAAAGAAATGCGCCAGTGCCAGGAATCGTACCTCCACCTCTGTAGTAATGAGCGAGTTGTGCTAGCCACTGCGCTACACCAGGTGTTTTGTTAGATTCGCACCGCAACCCTAAAAGAAATTGTCGACAGCGGCAAAAGTGTAAAAGATTGCAAATGCTAAAGTCCCAATGAGGCATCAAACCGAAGATCTCCTGATAGTGCTTTTTCTAAAGGAAATTTTTAACATTTCTTGGGAAAACGGAATAATTTTTTCAAAGGCAATATTATTTGAAAACCTGACATTTTCTAAATAACGAGAACAAAATGTATAATGTTTTGAAAAGTGCAAGCATTTTTTAAATTTTGAACAAAATTTGAAAACTGGAACATTTCTAAATTTTTGAACAATTTTTAAAAACTTCAACCCCGAACAAAATTTGAAAATGGGAACATTTTTTAATTTCTGAACAATTTTTTAAAAACAGAAACATTTTTGGAAAGTGTGAACAATCTTTGAATCTATGATATTTGAAACAAACAGGAATGTTTTCTAAAATTTGGATATCTTTTTGAAAATACAAACATTTTATTAAAATCAAACACTTCAAATATTGGTGCTCAAATTTTAAAAATGGAACATTTTTTATAATTTCTGAACAATTTCAAATTAGTGTATGTTTTTAAAATATACAAGCATTGTATGAATTTCTGAACACATTTTCAACAGCAGAAATATTTTTTTGAATACATGAACAAATTTTGAAACCGCAAATATTTTTCGATTTTTTGAACAAATATTTGAAAAAAAGAAAAAGTTCATGAAATTGCTAACAAAAGTTTTAAACTACGAACATTTTTGGATTCTATGAACAAAAATTGTAAAATGGTACTTTTCATCAAATTCCGATCAAAAAAATGGAAATGTGAACACTTTTCAAAATTGTGAACAAAATTTGAAAAGACTCAAATATTTTAAAAAATGCAAACAATGTTAGGAAACAAGAACATGTTTTAAACTAAGCATTGTTTAAAATATTGCGAACATTTTCTGATAATTCCGTACAAAATTTGAAGGGAACATTTTTCAATCTCGTGAAATATTTTTGAAAACACAAACATTGTTTAAAATATTTTTGATACTCCCGAACAAAATTTGAAATATGTGAACACATTTTTGAAATGGGAACATTTTACGAAACTCGCGAACAAAAATTGAAAACACAAACATTTTTTTGAAAATTGTGAACAAATTTTGAAATAGGAACATTTATTGAAACTCACGAACAAAAATGAAAATATGAACATTTTTATTAAATATGCAAACAAATTTTGCAAAGTTGTGAAATTTTGAAAAAAACATAAAGAAAAGAAACAGAAACAGAAAGTAAAAAAGGTAATAAACAGAAAAGGAAAAAAAGAAATAGAAAACAATAGAAAGCCGAAAAGAACCAGAGAAAACGATACAGGAAAAAGCCGGTTCAGGGAACCTTCTAGAAGGTTCCCAAAACCGGTTGAGTGGGCCGGCCCATGTCTTTGGCTCGCTGCGCTCCTATGTGCGGTTCTCTGTGTGATTGCTCGACAGTTCGCCGCAGCGAGGCGTGAATAGGATTTTCCGTGTTGCGGCCGGGAAATATGTCTCACATACTGTGCTCGCTTCTGGAGCTCCTCTAAACGGGCTGGCCCATCATTGTAGATCATGTGCGTTTTTTTTCGGGAAGGTTCTGTGGTCTGGTTCAGACCTGTTTTAGAACCCTCCTTGTGTTTTCTTCTTCTTTCATTTATATGTGTTTTTATCGGATCCTTTACTTCACAGTTTGTTTTATTTTTTTCAACACATATCTCTTTTTCCAATACACATTGTACATATTCAGAATACATGATGTACGTTTTCCAAATGCATGTTTTGAAAAGCTTTTGAATACATCTTAAACATTGTTTGATACACTTTGAAAATAATTTTAATGGCATTAATCATTTTCTAAACTATGCAAGATATTTTTTTAATGTCAGAGCATTTTAGAAAACACGGGAACATTCATTTAAATGTGAAGTATATTTATTTGAATGATATGAAACATTTTGTATTTACATGGTATGAACATTTTCTAAAATATGGCACACATTTTATGAATGATATCAACATTTTATAAAAAGTTGTGCAAATAGTTTTTTATACTGCATGAATATTTTCATGTGGGATGAACATTTAAAAAAATTGAAGTAAATTTTTTTATTTGGAAGATGCAAGTAAAAAAATAATACGATCCGCTTGGAAGCTAGGGCTCTTCTTGAGCAGGGCCACTTCATCTAGGCCATTTCGGACATCCTTGAGACGGAGGGTTCTTTCATCTCACTCACAGCTAGACAAAGACGCGCCAATGCCCCCGTAAAAAAAAAAAAAGATGCGCCAATGCGTTGAGCTTCAAAATATTTTTCTTTCTTGGTTACAAAACGCGAGATTTCCGAGCGAACGTACGGTGCAATTTTCTACCCGCTGTCACCGCTGCTACTTCTGGATGAAGAAGCGTCCGATCTCATCGAGTGGAGCGACGTTGCGTTGTTTATTCGCGTTGCTTCCTTTTGCGGTAAGACAGGCATCGCACGTGACACCGCGCGCACACAAACAAATTACACCGAGAGAAAAAACAACACGTCGATGGATCATCAGAGATGCCGATGCACATGGCGGCGACGATGGCGTCGATGCATGCTCCACCGCACCGCCACCAAGTTGCAACCTCGCAGCCAGAGAGCCGCATCCAACTTGTGCTCGCTCGCCTGCGCCACGCCTTTACACTTGTTTATTGCAGCTTCTTCGCCCCTTTTGGCCTCTTCTTCCTCCGGCATGGGCTCGATCGAATCGGTTCCATCTACATGGCAGAGCTTCGCGAAGGTACGGCCGGGGAGCGGCAACGCGTGTCCTCCCTACGTGGCGGCCATGTACGAGCACCGCCGCGCAACGTGGCTCATAGCTTCTGCCTACAAAGGCCACCTGCTCCGTGCTCCTCACCATATCACAAGAAGCCGATCCATTCCAAGCACAGTCGAGCAGAAGCCTAAAGCGAGTGACATTTCCCCCTTCCGAGCTAGCTCAAGAAACCAATATGGCCTCCAACCAGAACCAGGCCAGCTACCACGCCGGCGAGACCAAGGCCCGCACCGAGGTAACCGTCGTCTCCTTAGTGTGTAGTGTGTGCTCTGCCGCGCGCATGCGCCGTTGCTCCGGCGGGGGTCTGAGATGTTCTGTCTGTTGGATGAATTTCAGGAGAAGACCGGGCAGGTGATGGGCGCGACCAAGGACAAGGCGGGGCAGACCACGGAGGCCACCAAGCAGAAGGCCGGACAGACCACCGAGGCCACCAAGCAGAAGGCCGGCGAGACGGCCGAGGCAACGAAGCAGAAGGCCGGTCAGGCCACGGAGGCCACGAAGCAGAAGGCCGGCGAGACGGCCGAGGCCACCAAGCAGAAGGCCGCCGAGGCCAAGGACAAGACTGCGCAGACGGCGCAGGCGGCCAAGGAGCGCGCCGCCGAGACCAAGGACCAGACCGGCAGCTACCTCGGCGAGAAGACAGAGATGGCCAAGCAGAAGGCCGCCGAGACGACCGAGGCTGCCAAGCAGAAGGCCTCGGAGACGGCGCAGTACACCAAGGAGTCCGCCGTCGCCGGCAAGGACAAGACCGGCAGCGTCCTCCAGCAGGCCGGCGAGACGGTGGTGAACGCCGTGGTGGGCGCCAAGGACGCCGTGGCCAACACGCTGGGCATGGGCGGCGACAACGCCACCAAGGACACCACCACCGGCGCCACCACCAAGGACACCACCACCACCACCACCAGGAATCACTAGACGCATGCGTTCGCGCTTGATTTGCTTTCCTTTAGTCCTGTTTGGTCGTTCGCGGGCCTTCTACATATTTGTATGTTTCCACTCTTTCGTGATTTCAGCTCATTTAGTGTTAAGTTTGCCTTCGATTTGATGTACTACTCGTGTCCGGTTCTGTAATAGTTAAAGAGTTACGATCCATGTGCTTTGGTGTAAATGGATAACGAGGACACTCGAAGGCGGCAATAAAGTGTATGTGGTCGATTTTCTTTATTCCGGTAGTTCATATTCCTCGGGAAAATTATCAAATAAATTCAAATTCAAACACGTCTTTTTTTCTGAAAAAGAAACATATGGATGTTCACAACACCACTACAAAAATTCCAATCAAAATTGGACATACACATAATCTCTATCTCTACTCCTATAAAAATACGAGTTGGTAGTGATGGTGTGCCTGCCATCTACAATTTTCGACCATCGGATACAGGATCTGCCCTTGTGCTCTGTGTCCTGCTCCATCGATCCCCAACTCACCCAACCAGGAAACTATAGAGGCATTCGATCCTTCTCGAAGAGGGGAGAACACAGTGGAACGCTGTCGCTCACACGCCGCCGGCGCCGGCCGCTCCCAGTTCCTCTTCGGCAGCAGCCCCACCACTCATGTCACCTCCCCCTCCTCCTTCCCCCTCCTACCTGTTATCTCTTCTTCCCCTACCCTGTCTCCTTCGATGCCGATGTCGGCATGTACGCCGCCGGCGCCGTCTGTCCCCGAGGTCCACGAAACCTCTTCTGTCTCATTCTTTGATGCAGAAGCCTCTCCGCCCGCCATCTCCCCCTACCGCATCTCATCGGCGCTGACATCGGCAAGTACGTCACCGGCATCGTCCGCCCCCTGATTCAGCAATGGCTCTCATGCAGCAGCGCCAGCGCCCACAAGCTTCACCTCCTTCCCATCGACGCGCTCCACGTCCGTCTAATTCGAGTTTGAGCTGCTCCCCAGGACCTCTATGCCGTTTGCAACAGGAGCACCACCCACGAGCTCCACAGTCCAGACCCGCATCCTCCTTCCGTCTTGGAGATGGAGATGGCAAAATCTGGTGTGATAATTTACGTGAAGGTACTGTGCTCTGATAGTCCCTCTCCTTCCCAGTCCCAAGTCAAAAATTTCCGTCACCCAAAAGTTCAAATCGACACGCCTATCTCATACTGTCTACAAACCACTCATGTCATTTACTCCCTCCGTAAACTAATATAAGAGTGTTTAGAATATTAAAGTAGTGATCTAAATGCTTTTATATTAGTTTAAAGGAGTGATCTAAATGTTTTTATATTAGTTTACAGAGGGAGTAGTTGAATATGGGACTCACGCTGCTCAAACTACATCCCCAAGAAGCCACGTAATCTTTAGCTCGAACGGAGTGTGAGGAGGCATGAGTCACTGTCATTCTCCATCTAATCTACTTTTTCAAGGACCATGGTTTGGGTGTGGATGAATAGTGGAATCTTCTCTACTTCTCATGAACCCCTTGCTTCATCTCTGTTATACAATCCTTACTTGTGCAATTTGATATGTGACTGTGGTAACAGATGGAACAGCCTTATATTGTATCCATAAGCAGTATCCATTGTAACAATGTTTGATTTCAATTAATTATCCAAAATCTTCTTGTGGAGTGAAATTTTGAGTATTGAAAATGTTGGTGTATACCTCTCTGAACCGGTATTTTCACATGACCAGCTCTATGTTTCTCTTTCTAGAGCTACCATTAGAAGTGTAATATAAAGCTTCTTACTGTCCCGAATAAGCAAAAGGAAGACCACTCCAACTCCATTACAAAATTTACAAAGAAATGGTCTACAAAAAAGTTCTCATTGTGCAGTCCAAGGTATGAATCAAGTACTGTTTGGTGGCTGTAAAAATACAATATATCTAACTAGGGTCAGTCATGTAAAATTGCTTCCCATGTATGGCTTTGAGGGAAATAACTTAGATACTTACTTTAGTGTTTATGATATTTTTATAAAGAAAATGTATATGTGTGTTTGAATTATTTTTTGGTAATTCTCTTTCTTACTCCCTCTACTAATTTTTTCTGGATGACACCTATAACAGGTCTCTTTGTCATCGACGCCTCTCCTTTGTTTGGTAGCTCCACATCCAAATTTCAGGTCAGACCCCAAATATTTATTTCCTTGTTGTGTGTGATCGGCATCTTTTTCTGGCAGAAACCTGGTTGATGTAAGAAAGTTACAAGAGGTCCAGTACTGTACAATTTTTATGTGTGTGTATGCACATTCTGTTTCTTTGCTTGGTACAAAATATATTGCAAGGGATGTTCTTTTTTGCTTTGTTTAAATATACTACATACCCTCTACAGACTCAGCTTATTTTCCTTTTTCTGAATATAACACAGACGATTTGTATGCAATAGTTGTTGGAATTCAGTAATGTTCAGGCTTGTTCCAGTGTTAGTTTTCTTCAGGCTTTCAGTGTTCCTTTTTCTGAAGAAAGTTACAAAGGAACTTGTAAATTTTGGTTGTTATTCGTTGAGATTGTATCCTCTGTTTTTATTTGGCTAGCTGGACAGGTATATCTTCTGCGATTGTTCTGATGGGACGCCTCTCAACATGATCCTCTATTCATTTTTTTGTTATGGCTTTGGTTGTTTGAATCGCTTTGCTTTGACTCAAATATGTCCTAATATTTTAGCCAACGAATTGAGCTTTTGATAGCTTTGGAACTTGCTGGCCAAGAGATAAGATCTTCTTGTTAAGGATAGGTCTATATATAAAGCCATGTATGGTAGGTCCTCTGCATCAATCTCATCTGGTGTTCCTCCACATACATCTGAACCTTGGCATAGAGAGAGCTACGTTGGTGAGAACCTGCTGGTTCATCTCCTCTTGAGTGCACAACAGGAGATACGAGATCATTGTATCTTGGACGAGAGCGCCGTTTAACTCGTGCACCACGGCGAGGGCGTGAATCTCCTTGAAGATAGCGCCTACCAGTGTGCCTTGATCCAGTCGAGCTGCTGCACCATGATCTGCTGCGACCACATCTTCAGCAACATACGACATCGCCGACGCCAACAATAGTGGTTGTCTAATGTCTTTTTAGGTGAGCAGATAAATGAAGAGAAAACCCCATAACTAATATTGTTGGCATATATATATTTGAGCAAGAAGGGTATTACTATTCTTGACAAATGATTATATGGCCTGATCCTGGTAGATGACTAATGTATATAACTAATTAAGTGGAACTAGCTGGGTGAGTTATGTCCAGAATATTTCTTTTCTTCATTGTAGTGTTGTAGGCAGATTCATTTTTCTTGCATATTTAGCAAATCATTCTGTTAAACACTTCTACTTCATTCTTGTTTTCCCTGGAACCATTCATAATTGTGTGTTCAAACTATAGTATGTATGTTATTTAGATATATTAGTTTCTGCCATTTATCTGCACAACTAGCCGAGATCAAGGTTTTCATCCGGATCTGCTCGAAGAACCTCCATCAAAAACCGTGCACATGGGCCACC